ACAGCTGGGGTTACAGGGAGACCCTGTCTCAAAAAGACCAAAAAAAAAAAAAAAAAAAAGAGAGAGAGAGAGAGAGAGAGAGAGAGAGAGAGAGAGTACAGTGACAGTATAGCTCTACAAAAAATGTATTATGAGTAGAAATGGAAGCTATTCCCAACAGTATCCATACCATAAGGAAAGTAGAAGTTCTTCCTCAGAGAAAATTGGGGATCTTTGATGATAGTAGAATCTATATTATTGGGAAAACTGGTTAGGGATATGTAATTAATAGCTTTATATAACTTTTGTTCATGAAACGTTGAATAAGAATTATGGAATATACTAGTTAAATGCCTTGTTGCTATGGTGAATACTTGGATAAAAGCAATTTAAAGAAGGGTTTATTTTAGTTCATAGTTCAAGGATACAGTCCATTATAACAGGGAAGCCAGCTAGCTGGTCACATTGCATCTGCAAGTAGGAAGAAGAGAGTGATGAATGCTAGTGCTCAGCCAACTCCAGGCTGGTCTCCATCTCAGAGATCCACTTGTCTCTGCCTCTTGAGAGCTGGGATTAAATGCGAACCACTATGATGGTACGCATCACTTTCTCCTTTTTATTGGGTCTAGGACCCAAGCCCATGGTATGATTTCACCCACATTCAGGGTAGGTCTTCACACTTCAGCCAACCTAATCTAGACGATTCCTCACAGGTATGCCCAGAGCCTTGTCTCCTGGGTAATTAATTCTAGATCCTGTCAAGTTGACAATATTAACCATCACATGGGGGTTTGCTACTATTAACATGGTTTTTAATCAGTCGCAGATGCCAGAATACTCAATACTTGAAATGTAAATATACAAATTCAAATTTGCTTACTAGGTTAAAGCAAAGAACCATAATCAAATTTTCTTGTCAGACTATCCTGTCTTTTTCTTCTTCTTGATAATCAATTCTTAGGATTTATATTTCTAAAGATATTTTATTGTCTGCATTTTGCCTTTAACAGTGCATTGTTTAACTCTAACTTGGAAATGCACATACAGTGTTTTGTTTAGTTTTTGCAAAGTAAATCCTAAAGTCAATGCCAGCAATCAAAAATGAAATAAACAAAGCAATTGTATTACAATAGCATCAAAAAGAACAAAATACTTAGAAATAAGTTTAGCAAAAGAAGTACAAGACTGGAATTGTAAAACTCAAAATGGGGCCATAGAGATGGTTCAGTGGGTGAAGGCACCTTCACCAGGACAAATGACCTGAGTTTGGCTCCAGGGACCCACATGGTGGAAGGAGGGACAACCTGCACACATGCACATGCACACACAAACACACACACAATAGTAAATATACCATAAAATTAAAAATGGTGAATGAAATTAAAGATGTTCTAAATAAATGGAAAGATACCCTATGTTTATATGCTGGGAAGCAATAGATTGTTTCTAAATTGGATAACATAGTCTATGAAGTCCCAGATGTCTATTTTTGCAGAAATCAACAGGCCAATCTTCAGGTTCCTCTGGAATGCAGGGGACCCAAATAACTGAAATGATTTTGAAAAGCAAAGTTGGAATACTCAAACTTCCTGATTTGGAAACCTAATATAAAATATTGTAATCAAGATAATGTCAGATGATGCTCTGGTGTACAAATTGACTCCTAAATGATTGCAAACCTCTGTGGTCTTTGAGACTCACTCAGTTGCTGTAAATTATTAACACTAACCTACAGAAGTTTTAAGAATTTGTTAATAGTTTAGCTGTTAATAGTTTAGCCTAATTGTTTGGTGGTTACTTCTTGACATGGTCTGCTAAAGGGAAAATTATTTGTCTATGAATTTTGGATCATTTGGTTGTCCTAAGAATTAGATGTCCTGTATGTCTATCTACTCAAAAATATGATTATGGGTCACTTGGCCTTTCCTCTGGTTAGAGTGGCAAGAACAGTCTCTTTTTGCTTTCAGCATTTTAAGCAGATTGGAGCTAATTTGGCTCTTGACCTGCTTAGGTGGGTTGATTTCTTTGAATACTTACTGTTCTGGTTAGCTTTGTTTTGCTGTGATAAAAACATTGACCAAAACCAACTTGGGAAGAAAATGGTTTATTTGGCCTACCATTCATAGTCCATCATCAAGGGAAGCCAAGGCAAGAACTCGGGGCAGGATCCTGGAGCGCAGACCATGGAGGAGTGCTGCTTACTGGCTTGCTCCCCTGGCCTGTGCTCAGCCTGCTTTCTTATACAGTACAGGACCACCTGCCAGGGGTGACGCTTCTCACAGTGGCCTGGGCCCTCCCAGATCATTCAACAATCAAGAAAATGCCCCTCAGACAGGACCACAGGCCAATCCAATGGAGATAATTCCTCAGTTGAGGTTCCTTCTACCCAGGTGTGTCAAGTTGACAACTAAAGCTATCTAGCACAGTTGACTCCTTGTCAACTTGACACACAAACATACTGCTATTAAACCACAACCTTTCCATTTCTTGTCCCCAAGATACAATGTTAGTATTAATATCACAACAAAGAACAGTACAACTTAAGAGGTCCCACAATCCTTTAAAAATTCAAATGTTTTAAAAGTTCAGTCTCAAAACTTTCAACTGTGGGCTCCTGTAAAATCCAAAACAAGTATTATTTTCTTTCAAAAGGGAAGAATTGGGTGCACTTGAACAAAACCAAAATCCATCCAAGTAGCTCAAGGCTGGACATCTGGGATTCACTCACTATCTTCTGGCCGCCACAGGGCTTGGGCAGCTCTGGCTTTGCCATCCACAGCACATACAGGTTGTCTTGTAGGCTCAGCCTGGCTTCACTCCATACCTGCTGCTGCCCTTGGGGGTCATCCCATGGTCCTGGTATCTCCAGTACGCTGGGGTGTCTATTGCAAGTGAGGCTTAATCTTCAACAAGGATCTCTTCTGTCTTTACATGATGCCAAGCCTCAGATCCTTACCATGACCCCTTCATGCCTTCAAAACCAGTACCATGTAAGAGACTCTTACATATAACCAAATCTTGCTTCCAGCTTGAGATAGAATCTTTGGTGCCTTCTGGACCACAGCTTCTGTGTGCTCACCCTGAAGAAATACTTCCCAGGAGATTTCACCTTGATGCTGGCCTCTTGTTACTCACAGCTGATATCAGCATCTGTTGTCCTAGTAAAGCAAAGGTTTTACTTCAGTGGCACTGGCCTCTTGTTAATCATAGCTGATTCTTCAGTCCAGCTGAGCAGAAACCACAGATTCTCAATTCAAAATAATACAAACAGCCCTGATAGTCATTGCTTCCCTTGAAACTTCACAAGCCAGGCCTCTGTTGTCTACACCTCTTTCAACATTATTTTTCAAGTTCCTGCAGAACAGCTCACAAAGCTCTAAACACTCAATGGCTTTTCCAGTCCAAAGCTCCAAAAACTTCCACAGTCTTCCCCAAAACAGCTGGGTCCTGTCTGTCACAGCAATAGACCACTCTCTGTTACCAGTTTTTTGTATTAGTTACTTTTCTGTTACTGTGATAAAACACGATGACCAAGGAAACTTATAAAAGGAAGAGTTTATTTGAGCTTATGGTTCCAGAGGAATCTAGAGTCCATCGTGGTGGGGAGGCATGGTGGCAGGAAGTGACCTGAGCAGGAGCAGAAAGCAGAGGCTCACACCTTGAAGCAGGCACAGGAAACAAAGAGCAACTGGATATTCAGCGAGGTTTAATAACTCTCTTTAAGCCTGCCTCCAGCATGGCCACACCTTCTAAGACATCCCAAACCAGTACTACCAACTGGAGATAAAATGTCTGACTACTTGGAGCTATGGGGGACATTCTCATTCAAACCACCACACTTATGCATCTCATTTAGTCCACATGTCTAAGAGGAGGAGGTATTGTTATTATCTCTTTTTTTTTTTCCCAAGACGTAAAGCCAGATTTAATAGAGAAAATGTGCTGGAGGCACAAGAATAAACATATCTAAACCACCTTCCCTTTTCCTCTCTCCTCAGTAAAATGTAAATTTATTTGGCACTTCTCCAAGGTGAGGAGATGTGTTCTTGGCATTACAGGTCCTCATTTTCATTATTACTACTACTATTATTATTACTCCAATGAGAAAGATACACTATAAGTGAGAGAAGGTGCCTAATTGAACTTTTGATCAGCAAGCCCATCTGAGAAGTGGTAGGTTTGGTAGTCAGCATTCGTGTCTTGGTTTTGTAACAGGTGGATAACAGCATTGCCAAGGCCTTGCTGCTACTTTCCTCTTTCCCTGTTGCTTCCAGTGTAGAATAGTCAATAGCTTTAAGATTTGTTCTTTTTTAATGGGGTAGTAGAGTTTTATGTTATTTTCATTACTATTCATTACTAATTCCTTCATAGTCTTAGGTTGCTCTTAGGGACTTGGAGTATAATTACTTATGCTACTTATATTTGTCTTAACAAATTCCTTTGTAAGCCCTCTCTTCACCCTTTAATGTATTTGACAAAAGGTAATCTAAAAGTTTTTATTTTTAAAACTTTATTTTTTTCACTTCCAGAAAAGAAACTGTGATAAGCCTGATTGATAAGGCCAGTTAAAACAAATATTAATTTTTCTCTTCCATTTTTTGTCAGAGATTCAGTTTCCAAGATATGCTATTTGTAACTCATCATATTAATCCATGCTTTCTTTCTCCAGCCCTTCCTAGGGTCTTGCATATACTAGACAAGTGCTGTGTTCCTAAACTCCAGCCACAACCCCTGATTTAAGTCTATATGTTCTCACATACTAGTGATAGATACAAATTAAGTTTTATGACTTGCCTATGAGTTGGGATCTTAATACCTTTCCCCATATTCCTCATGTAAACTAGGTGGCAAATACCTGCACATTATTTGTATTCGTGAACACCATTAATACAGAGACAAAAGCAAAAGTTAAGGAACAGGAACTTGGAGTGGGAGAGCAGGGTTTTTTATATATGAAACAGTATTTTATAATGCCTTGATTTCCCTCTAACAGACACTTAAATGTGGTTCTTCTTCCCTAGTTATTAGGGAATATGAAGAACAGAGAAAGCATCCAAGAACCTAGATTTGATTATTACAACCATGAAGTTCCTGATATTGACCTCAGTGAATGCGAATTCCCACATGTCATCGAAATTTATGACTTTCCTCAAGAATTCCGTACAGAAGATCTTCTACGGGTTTTCTGCAGTTACCAGTAAGTATTTGAAAGTGGTTATTAGTATTAGGGAAGAAGGTCATCTTCATAAATTTTGAGGGGAAAATTCATTCCTTGCTTTTGTATCCCAGTCCTTTATTTTAGCATTAGGTTTGTTTTCTTGTCCATATCCATCACAGTGTCTTCAGTTTTGGAATTCAGTTGATGTTTTTATTGATGATGATGATGATGATGATGATGTTGATGGATGTGTGTGTGTTCATGGGGTTTTTTGTTTTTTGTTTTTGTTTACTCTTTAAGTTGATCATTTTTCTTGGAATTGTATTCATGGGCATTAAGACCTACAGTGAAAGAAGGGGCCTTCTCCTAAGCCTCTGGGAATTTTCTTCTGCCGGGAGCCGAGAACACTAACCGCTTAGGAATGCTTGATTATTGATTATTGAAGTTTTTCTGGCCACTCAAAAGATGTCAGATGGAGAATGATTTTAAAAATTGTTTGTCACAGATGCTTTAGTACATATAAACGTTGTATTTACTTACCAGTCTTTTAATGTCGTCTCTAGTTGTCCCTCCCTTTAAATTGTTGGTGTTATTGAACAGTTCTTTTTACGTCACCCTCATTCTAACTCATCATTTAATAGTTTTAAATCTTTAACCTAAAACAAACAATTTTAGCATATCTTCAGAATTATCTTGGTGTATATTCCTATGGGCTATTTTTTTTTTCAGTGACTTTTCTTTAGTCTTCCAAAGCATTCAAGTACCTTTTTCATTACTTATTATTGTTGTTGTTGTTGTTGTTATTGTTGTTGTTGTTACCATTATTGGCAGGGTTGCCATGTAGCCCAAGCTGTCCTTGAACTAAAAGTTCCCCTACTACCACCTTTTGAGTCCTGGGGTTTTAAAGATTAGCAACATTCTTTGGTCAGCTGAGTTTTGTAGATATGACAATTCTTCACACTTATAGTCATTCAATTTTGCTTTAAGTTATGTAGTGAAAATTTCAAATCTGTTACAAGTAATCTACAGATTATACTAACTCTTAGTTTGTATGTGGGTGGTGCATGTATAGGAGGAGGTAAAAGAATCATAAATACCTATTATTTCTAATAAGATAAAAAAAATAGGCTACAAGAACAAAGATGATCTAGAAAGTTTTTAAAGAAAAGATGTTCAGGGTCTAGAAAGAAATATCAAGGATTATACTTCAATGTTTCAATCCTGATATTAAAAATTTATCAGATCTACTGTGTAATATTACAAATTTAAACTTAAAATTCAATTTATTTATATCCAGATTGCTAGGATTATAGACATGCTCCACCTCTCCCAACTTTACATTGAATTTGTAAGATTCTATTTCAGAGTATAGCCCCTAATTCTTTCTTCCTTCCTTTCTTTTTTAATTTATTTATTTTTATGTGTATGAGTGTATTGCCTGCATGTGTGTAAGTGCACCTGTGTTGTGTAGTGCCCACAGAGGTCAGAAGAAAGAACTGAATCCTCTGGAACTGGAGTTACAGATGGTTGTTAGCTGCCATGTGGGTGCTGGGAATCAAACCCGGCTCCTCTGCAAGAGCAATCAGTGCTCTTAACCACGGAGCCATCTCTCCAGCTCCCCTAATTCTTTCTTAAAGGGCCAGATAGTGAATATTTTGGGCAGCTTTGTGCTACTACCTTACTAAAACAACCATAGACAATGTGTAGACAAATGAGTATGGCTAAAAAGTTACTTTTATTTATAAAAGTAGTTTTAGTTTTGTTTTGTTTAAGGCTGGCCTTGAACTCTTGATCCTCCTGTCCTAGCCCTCAAAGTGGGTTTTTTTAGGCTTATACCACCTGTGTATTCTCAGTTTATCATCAAAAGAAGAATTTTAGCCAGGCATGGTGGCATACGTCTTAAATCCCAGCACTTGGAGGCAGAGGCAGGCAAATCTCTGAGATGAAGGCCAGCCTGGTCTACATAGCTGGTTCAAGGCCAGCTGTGACTACAGGGATACCCTGTCTCAAATAAAGAATTTTATGGGGCCAGAGAGATGGGTCAGTGGTTAAGAATGCATGCTGTTCTAGCAGAGGTCCTGAATTTGGTTCCTAGCACCTATGTCAGGCAGCTTATAACTACCTGTAACTCCAGCTCCAAGGGATCTGATGCATCTGACTTCCTTCAGTACTTGCACTCACATGCAACATAGCCACACACACACACACAGAGATTCACAATTTAAAAACATAAAGTAAATCTTTAATGCCAAGTATGGTGGTGCATGCTTTTAAAAAAGAATTTGATGTAAAGTGCTAGAATACATAAAATTAGTTAGCAGCTATGATCTTATTTAATCAGTTAGACTAACTGGGAGAGAGCGCTTGAAAGAAAGCAAGAGTGAATGGATCCTAGAAGAGAGTTAATCTCTGTAGTATGTGTTACTGTAAAATTGTAGTGTAGGTCAGTCATTAATTGAATACGGTTTTGTTAAGACCCAGTATTAGGTGCTGTTTATAATAGATCTTTAAAAACAGTTAATAGGTTTAAATCTCAAATTAGAACTACCTTAGATTTCCATTAATAAAATTAGATTGTAATTAATAAAATCAGTGATCATTTTGTTGTTACCCAGAATTTCCTCAAGGAGAATTGTTTTTGTTGTCTTTTTTGAGAGACCATTTCTTCCTTGGCCTTGGAACTCTAAACCCTCTCATCTCCACCTCTTTAGTGCCAGGATTCCAGGCATACTTCCTTACCACATTTAAGGATAGTTAGTTCTTATTGATTATTTGCTTCTCTTTGCTTTATTTCTTCCTAACCTTACCTGTAAGAACATTTTTCTATAAGCTCTAATGCTTTCTCAAAAGGATTTTAAAGGATTGTGAAGTCTCAAGTCTAAAAGGCTTTTAGGCCCCTCCCCATCCATTTCTGTCTTGTCCTATAGCAGAAACTCTTACTTTGGAGCCTTTTCAGTTTTCAGGTTCTGTGGTCACTGTATATCATGGTCAGCTTAAACCTTTAAATTCTCACGAAGTTCTCCAACTCTTCTTCAGAGTTCCCCTTATTTCTTTTCTGTCAAGGAAAAAAAAATTAACATGTTGTTAAAAGGGAAAGGTATTTTAGCTCTTTTTCTTTTATAGTGATTTATGAGTTTTTAAAGGTCATGATGCAAAAACCTGTAATAATGTTTGAGTTGGACACCAGAGACAACTTCATGTTTCATTACCATCCCCATCAGTATTTTAATCTTGCTGGTGAGCATTGCTATCAATAATAAAAATAATGAGCACTGTTCATTTATAAGGTGCCTACTTTATAAGATGGGTGCTCATCATCATGTTCTTGGCCTTGGCATGGATGATCTCATTTCTGTTTTCACAACTCTACAAGAAAGGAATTGTGCCTGTTTTTATAGATGAGCAGACTTAGCCTCAAGAAAGCTTAATTCTACTCAAGGTTTCAAAAATGGCAGAACCTTGAGTTCATTTATGTCTGACCTTGAAACCAGAGCTCTTTCCAGTGAATGTTGAACCCATGAGCAGTTTTAAGCTCCTTGAAAAAATAAAGAGGGTGGAGTCCAAGAGACCCTCAAAACAATACAGGCTATTGCCATTGCACTTGGTTGCTCACCCCAACTTGAGGATAAGACCCTATTGCTGGAGACACCATATACTTTGGTCACACGACTTAGAGAAATCAAACTAGTGCTGAACTAGAAGCCTCCTTCATAGTGGCCAGCTTTTGTAGTGCCACAATGTGCTAGACAGGCTGCCAGGAGAGAAAAGGTCTGACCCAGCTGTGAACCCCACAAGCTATAACAATGACTCCCCTGGCATGATATGTCCATTGGTGCAATAATGGTATGAGTATATTGGGGTGGGGGCAGGGCAACCAACAGCTGTCTGCATTTAAGGCCCACACTACAGAAAGGAACTCATGCCTAGTACTGTAAATCTGGCAGGAAAAAAACCAAAACAAACAAACAAAAAACCCCATGGTTAGAGAGTTCATAGACCTCAGGGGAGAACCTACTACTATCATTTTCTAAATTGATGTAGTATCCAAGTACCTTCTAAATGCTTACACACATCTAGCTCTCACCCCTCATCAGAGAAGCTTTTTATAGTGGGTGGAGGTTAACACAGAGAGCCACAAATGATCAAAGTGCAGAGAATAAGTGGCTTGCAGTGTGCAATGTTCATTCTTCAATGGAACATCAGTACTATACTCTCTTCCTTCAAGGCTCAGGGAACATTGAGGAAAGAGGAGGAACAGAAAGACTTGTAAGAACCGGAGGTTAAGGAGGATTGCTGCAGCACAGTGTTAGGTAGTTGCACTCATGAACTCTCAACAGCTGAGGTTGCCTACATAAGAGCTCTCCAGTCAGTTTGCCAGCATGTATGGGTGGTGATCAGCGAGGCAGTCAATTGCTGCCAAGGAAGAGAAAGCTAATTTTCTTTAGGGTAGGTTTCCATACTACAGTGGATAGACCGATAACCCACATGCATGTGGGCAACACTACTTAGACTCAGTAGGTTTCATGTATACATACATTCATACATTTATATGCGTGTGTGTGTGCGCGCATGCGCACGTGCATGCGTGTTGCCATCCATATGTTCTTTGTGCTCACTGTTAGTTGGCTGTGTTCTAAAATGAAAAGGGTATTTTTCTAGTTTTAAATGTCTGTTCTTTTTGGTTCTTTCTTATCTAGGTTTCTTATGGTGATTTTTTTTTTCCTGAAATTTTCTGACTTTCCCACAGTTTATCATATTTTCCCCCTTACCTTCCTTCTTTAGTAAGGAGTACGCAAGCCTTCATGATTACAGTTGTCTTTTTTCCATTACTTGACTTTTTTGTAAACAACTTGAAAGACCTCTCTCCAGCAGTGAGATAATCTCCCCCAGCATACAGCTTGCTTTTGCATTAAATCCAGGTGACCTTCCCGACTTCTGTATTCTTCTATACCTCCTCTGCTTCCTTTATTCATTTCTTCTTATTTCCTGCTCATAAGAGCATCTCTTGTAAACAGTGCATTAAATTCTTCACCTCCCCAAGGGATTTGTGAGGATTAATTAGTTGACCTATAAAATGGCTGGGACATAAACTATGGCCAGGTAATTATGGTGGTGTTATGGCTTAAACTTCCAGTGGCTTCTCTGCTCCACACTGTTTTATGTCATCATCCCCATTCCACCTGTCTGCTTGTTGAGTATTTTCTCTATTTTATGAAATGCTTTTTAAGACTATTTAAAAGACATTTCATAAAAGTAAATTTTATCTTAAATATAAAAATTGTTTTCTTTTGTTGCAGAAAGAAAGGATTTGATATTAAATGGGTAGATGATACACATGCCCTAGGAGTATTCTCCAGTCCAATTACAGGTATTCATCCAGTGACCCTCATGGATTTCAGTGTTCCTTACTGTTTATTTTCTCCTGCTGCTTGCTCCTATTTCCCTTCTATTCCAGCCAGTTGGTATTTTGTTCAACTAACGTATGCAGTTGAATAAATGCTGGTTTTTGAGGTGTGTTGCTCTGGTGCCCGTGTGTTCTCCTCTCCCTTTTCTCTTTAATCCAGTGGTATTTGGAAAGATAGCCACTTCCTTCCTAGGTTTTTGGCATATATAAATGTTAGGTGTGATAGTGCAAAATCAAACTAAAGATGGAGAGTTAAGACCACAATGGGACTAAATCTTACATTATTTTTTTTTCTTTACACAAAAGAACTTAAAATACTCCTTGAATATGATTGGTCATTTATACACATACCTATTTTGTGCCCCTCAGTCCACATATCCTGAGCTTACTCAGGAATTCACAGAGGTCAGATATGTCAGATTGCTGGTTCCTGTCTGAACCACCTCTAGAGCATGGGTTTGCATGGGCCAAATAAAATATTTTGGGCTTTCTTGGGTAAAAAGCTTCTCTTTACCTAAGTCAGCTCTTGTAGCAAGAAAGCAACCACACGTGGTAAGTTTTATTTACAAACACAGGATTGGCTGGATTTGATATATCTAATCCAGGCAATAGATAATAAAATAATCACCACCAGAACTTACTGTTTACAGATTTTTTTTGTATCTTTTTCTTGCTTGCTATGGAAAAAAAATAGCCAACAAAGCATCTAGGAAGTACTTTATAAGAAATAGAACTTTCCTTTGCGTTTTTCTACTTCATGTCTTCTAATTTTGTTTATTCTTTCTTGCAGCTCGTGATGCTTTGGGTATTAAACATACCATGCTGAAGATCCGCCCCTTGTCACAGGCCACAAGAGCAGCCAAGGCCAAAGCTAAAGCTTATGCTGGTGAGCCCATAATCTCTGCAGTTTTCTTTGTTGCTGGTGAAGTTATTGGTCATTCCAGCAATTTTAAACCATCCAAAGTTCTATAGATACCTTTTTTTTTTTTCTCATGTTAGGAGAAGTATTATGATTTTAAGGACAAAAAGAAACATGCCCTCTGAGCAGCCACTTGAAGAGTGGGAGAAACTAAAAGCAAGCAGTACAGTGACCAGTTTCTGATGGCATTGCTACTTAGTTTACCTCTGTTTCAGCTGTTGATAGTCTTTATAGGAAATTGCGTTAATACAGATAATGAAGTCAAGGTTGTTTGTGTTTTGCTATGTTAATTTCCTCTGATCGTCATCTGTCAGGTTGTATTAATTACTGCTGATGCAGCCCTTGTTAGTCTATTTTCTATGTTAATTACTGAGTTAAGTCATTGGAGCTGGAGTGCTTTCTCTTTCTACTCCTTCTTTCCCAGAGTTCCTCCAACCAGCAAAGGAGAGACCTGAGACGTCAGCAGCATTAGCCAGAAGGCTAGTCATCAGTGCTCTTGGGGTTCGTGGTAAACAGAGCAAAGCTGAACGGGAAGCAGAGCTCAAAAAACTGCAGGAAGCCCGAGGTAAGCTGATGGCAGAGATGTGCTCTGGTCCCCCAAGGGTTCACTATGAGGCGTGTGTTTAAAAAAGGAGAACGGGGCCAGGCATAGTGGTGCACACCTTTAATTCCAGCACTTGGAAGGCAGAGGTAGGTGGATCTCTGTGAGTTCAAGGCCAGCCTGGTCTACATGGTGAGTTCCAGGACAGCTAGGGCTACAGGGAAACCCTGTCTCAAAAAGATAGAGAGAGAGAGAGAGAGAGAGAGAGAGAGAGAATATGAGAATGAAGTCCATTCTATTTTGTTATTTCCTTTTCCAAGAAAGAAGTCTGTCAAGTGTATGGAAATTGTTTTCAAGCCTTCCATTCAGGATAAGTCTCCTTTCCCACTCACCAAGGCATCTGCGTCCATTTTCCTACTGTTATTTTCTAAGAGATAGGCTTGGCCTTCTCACCTCTTTCCTGGCTTTTTCTACAGTTTTTGCTCCAAACGCAGAAAAATTTTTCCTGTGAAGGCTTAATAGTCTCCCGGACTGAAAACTTTATTTGCTCTGCTTTTACTGTGCCATGGTTGCCATGATGGTGCCATGATATAATCAAATGGTTTAGATCTTTGATAGAAGACAAATTAAGGAAGAGCCAGCAGCTAGCATTGGTGGTAGTAACTGTAAGAGGGAGTTTGTCTTTTTAAAGACTGTCCTGAGTGATTCAACTAGAATACATCTAGGTTTACCTGTCTTCTGTTTTCTAGTACCTAAGTGTTGTCAGAAAATATTTCCACAGATCTACAAGTAGGGGTCTTATTACAGTTTGTAGTTAAGGTTAAAATAGATGTCTTTATAGACTGTTGAATTGTATATAAAGACTTGGATAGCCTGACACCGAAGTATTTTTTTTTATCAACCTTCAAGGTTTAGGTTAGGCTCATTGCCTTAACCCAAGATTTCCTAGAATCAGGGAAGACAATTCGGAAAATTCCATTTACCAAAAAGTAACTTTTTTTCCCATTAAACCAATTGAAGTTTCAAACTCCCTGTTTATTGCCAGTTTTACAAGGCCTTTAATACTTCTTGTCCGCTATACTTTGGTGATAGCGGGCAGCTTTAGGACTCTCAGCTGCGCTGGCCAGATAACCAGTGAGAAAGTGCGTCATGGCAGGTGCTAGAGTTTCAAAATTAAACCTAATTTACCTTAATGATTATATTGAGGCATTTCTTTTTTCCTAATGTTCATTCAAAGGGCTCTTATAGACTAGAAAAAGGAACGGATTCCTCTGGTTTTTATAGATGGTAGTGACAACTAGATTAAAGAAGAATGTTTAGTATTCTTAACTCTTTGTTGATTGATTATCTCTGAAGAAAATGACTTTTGGGTGGTAACTACAGTTACTTCAAAGATGAATAGAAAGAGCTTGGTATGTAGCTTAGTTGTAGAATGTTTGCTTGGCATGCCCAAGGCCCTGAGTTTGATCCCCTGCAGTGAACAAAAAAGTAGGAGGGCTAGTATAGGATAATAACAGTGATTTCTAATGTAGATTCCTTTTGCAATATACCATGCCTCCCCTATGTTTAATATCTCCCCCTGTGTCTACAGATGTTGGAGCCATGTTTTGCATGGACCGTAGCATCTGAGTATTCCCTCGAGTTTGTGGCAGGCTTATCGGCATGGAGCTTCACTTGAAGTGTTCGCTTTAAATGCCTTGCTATTCAGAGAACATCTCCATGAGGTGGTTAAAAACTGAGTAGGAACCCATTGCTTTTGTTTGATTCTTTTTTGTTGTTGTTGTTGTTGTTTTGTTTTGTTTTTTTTTTTTGAGATAGAGTTTCATTCTCTATTTCTGGCTGACCTGGAACTTACTTTATAGCTCAGGCTGCCCTTGAACTTTGGGCAGTCCTACCTGTTTCTGGAATGCTGGGATTATAGATGCAAGTTCCCATGCTGGCCTCTCTGTTGTTTTTTAAAGAAGACTATTTATTTGAGGTGATATCCTCACTATTGCCTGTGGTGAACTTGAACTTGCAATTCTCCTGCCTCAATTTCTCAGCTTCCTTGGTAACTGGGACTCCAGAGCCTTTTGTTTGTGAATAGAGGCCAACTGGGATATGTTCTTTCCTATTGGTGTGCAGATTACAGAAGACCCTCTTATTATACTTCATAGCTCTTCTATTCTTTGTGAGAAAATGAAACTGGAGAATTTCTTCCTGGCATTTTTTGTATTTGAGCATTTTCATGTAGTTGTGTGGCACCCAGGCTTCTCACTTAAATTTGTTCTTTTCTGTTGAAATTTAAAGTTTTAAGTTCATATAAGCAGGGTGTGTGTGTGTGTGTGTGTGTGTGTGTGTGCGTGTGCGCACGTGCACACATGCACATGTATGTGTGTATGTATGTATGTTCCAAATGGGATTAGTACAACATATACAAGTACAGATATGTGTGTCCACATCTTAGCTCTGGTTACGTGACCTTTCTCATCTATAAAATGGAAATCAGATGAGCTGATTTGTGAAAGATAGTTGGTCGTCTTCAAAAGCCATGGGAATGTGTGCTCCCATTTGAATAGAACTGAAAAAGTACATCTACTGTTGGCTGCTGCTGTTCTTATTAGCAGTAGAAGTAGTATCATATGTAGTGAAACCAGCATACATTTTGGTGTGTGTGTGTGTGTTTTTTTTTTAACGTTATTTTGAAATTTCTGTGAATAGACTGTCCAGGTTTTATTTGGCATTCACTGAGCACCCACCCAATGCAAAGCAGTTAACTTCCCTGCTCAGGAGAGTCAGAGAGAAGACACAAGCCTTTGTTCCTCTACTTAAGACTTAGTCCAGTGGATTATCTGCATTAAGTAAAGCACAAAATAGGGAACTGCTCTTAGATATTTTAAGCAATTGCTTTTCCTGTGTGTGTGGTATTGGCATTGGACCCAGAGCTAGTGTGTGTGGTATTGGCATTGGACCCAGAGCTAGTGCTGGGGAAGCACTCTGTCACTGAGCTACACCCTCAGTTTCTCCTCTCTTTCTGTCCTTCTGAAGATTTTAATATAAAAGTGACAAAGCTTTTGTTGATGAAAAGGACTGGAAGGAAACTCCCCAGCAGTTAGTTTTGATGGTATTGTGTCTTGATAATGTGATAGCCCAGAAAAGTTAAGTAACTGGTCTTAGGTTGCCCACCAGGAAAGTGAGAGGAAGGATTTGGATGAAGGCCTCTCTAGTTAAAACTCGTACTTTCTCTATTATACTATGATTCCTTTTGAAGGATTTTTGGGACAATTGATATTTTTTTCCCAGAAAAAATGACCTCTGTAAAGTCTCCAGAGAATGTAATACAACAAGCTTCCTTTTAGGAAGCTTTTTCTGTCAGAAAAATTTCCTTTTAGCAGCTTTTACTGTCAGAAAAATTTCCCTTTAGTGTGACCTGAATCTGCATGGTAGTGTAAACCAATTTTGCCTCTTTTTCCATAGTTAGAAATATAGACTATCTGGACCTCATGCTATACTAACAACTTTTAACTATAAAGACCAGTTGGGTGTAGTGGCACATGCCTTTAATCCCAGCACACTAGAGGCAGAGGCAGGAGGATCTTTGTGAGATTGAGGCTATCTAGGACTACAGGGAGACTGTCTCAAAAAGACCAAGGGCAGGTCATTAAGGAATGAGGAAATCTGGGCTATAATAGAGATTTTGTCATTAACTAATTGTGTGGCTCTGCACAAGTCAGTTATTAACTATCTGTGCCTCACATTCCAACAAGTTAAAAAAAAAAAGTGCTTGCCATACCTAACCAAGGAAAAATTTTTTGAGCACAAAGTAATTTAAAATGTAAAATGTTGAGAAAGTGCTTTACAATTCAGTGCTATTTTTTCTGTAACTATTGAGAATTTAGTGTTTTGTATTACAATAATGTGACATGAGCCAGTAAGTAATAATTTACATTATGTACTACTGCTGTCATCCATTACACATGACACATTGCAGAGCAATCATGATATTCATTCTTGGTAAGTATTGCCATGACCATTGACAGCTGAATTAGCACGGGAATTAAAGTCTCTACACTATTCTGTTATAGGTCCATTCATAATTCTGTATAATAATATAGCCCTTCTTTGAGTTACATGAAGAATGCTCTTGACGCCATAGTACTTAAGATACAAAAAGACACATGCTCCTTGTCTAAATATGTAAACCACATCCCTTCTTTAGTTTTTCTTCTTAAATCTTTTGATTTTTACCTGAACTTTATCCGAGTTCACCGTAGTTTTTTTTTTTTCCCTTAAACCCAAAGTTGAGTGCTACATATGAAATACACCTAACCTAATGAGTTTGTAATTTGTAATTTTGAGTTTTCTTGGTAGAATTTTTCTATCTTACTTGAATTTTTCGGTCTTTGTAATAGGAGGGCTGTCCCTATTCCTTAAAGGAGGTTCACAGATTAAAGCTCTTTGTAAAAGAATTGAGGAAAAGGAAGTACCCAAATCATTTTAAGCAAATCACATTGTATAGAGGAAAAAACCTTTAGTACATAGTTCTTGAACATGAAAAGTCTCTTTGGTCCAGGAGAGTGCATAACAGATCAGAGCTATGCTTGGAGGGGGAACTGAAAGCATAGGTCATCTTTGAGTGCCTTGTATTTGACTTAATCCGGTGTTTTCAACCAGAGATTCACACTGACTGATAAAACCACATTATTAAAGAACTGACCTCAGGAAGACATAAAAATTTTCCATGTTCCACTTTTCCAAACATTTGATTTCTACCTAAAATTAGAAATGGTATCATTGCTTCTCAGAATAAACTGCTCTCATTTTCAAAGTCTGCTGTAATTTTATTTTGTAATTTATTTCCTTTTTACTCTGAGGGGTAGATGATTAATTGGCTGGTTCTAAAAGATCAGCTTTTGGTTCACAGGCCTAAAAAACTAAGGAAATAAACAATCTGATCATGTAGTTTGATTAATTAAATCACTAGAAACTTAGAATCGTCTCTATATAATACTTGGTCTACTGTGGCAAAACAGGTCTGCCCATGATGCTGCCTTTTGGAAATCTCCGTAGACAGCTTGTTATTCTGTAATGCTGTGTTACTGCCCTACGATCTAGGCCTTCAGGTTATTTTCTTTGTTTTTTGTTTTCGTTTTCTTCCCCTGTTATCTGAAGTTACCTTTGTTTCTAACCACGTTTTTAATGTGGTATTTTTCTGAGATATAATATTTACCTATTTTGTCTTTTTTCATTGGTCGTTAATAAACTTACTTTCCAGAGACAAAAATGTCAGCACCAGGACTAACTGACCAGTTCAAGTATTGCTAAAATAAATACCATGAGGCACCTTGGGCTTAATACACTAATAATCATTTTCTCCAGTTAAATGCCCCCTGATGAGATCTGGATTATATTTTTCCAGTGTACTGATGATTATATAAATACTCGACAAACTTTATCTAAAACCTTGCAAAAAATTAAGAGGTTGCTTAGACTACTTCTCCTTCATCTGTCAGATCTGTCATACCATAAAAGAAGGCAATTAAATTAGTTTGACCAGACTTGTTCTTCACAAAGCTTGCTGATTATTACTCTGTAGGTGGCTGCAAGTGGATTTTGTGATCATTTTTTTAAGTATCTAAGTAAATTTTTGAAAGTCTTTAATTTGCAGTCCTTTTCTTTCCTTCTTTATGTATAAATTTCTTTCTCTCTCTATAAAAGGCGTGACACCAAGCTGGCCAGTCTTTAACACTTTCCATTCTCTCAGCGAGAAATGGCAGCTGACTGCCTCACAATTTCAGTCTGCTCGTTCAGTAGGCATTTCTGTCCACCTATTTTTTTATACTGCTGCAGGAAAATCTTCAGAGCCAGTTTATGTAAATGTTTTAGGTTAATAATTTCCTGCTAATGTGCTGCTGCTTTCTTTTCCCTTAGTTCCTTGCCCTTAAAGCTGTTGTGGGCTTTCTGTTTACTCAGTTTACTCTTTTGTTAGAGGTCAAGTTAATAGGAGCCTTTTAATGCAGTCTATCAGTGATTACCTGCTTGCTTTTCTCTCTGATAAAGAGACATGATTCTTTTGGTCAGTGCATTTCTTTACATGCTTTCCCTTTTTTCTCTTTAATATTTTCTGATGTCAATATAAAGACCTGGGTTCCAGCTTCAGTTCTTCACTGATTATTAAGTTCTCCAAGCTTCCATTTCCCATCTTAAAAATGGAGAAATTACTTTTAAGTCCCATTTGACCCATATTTCTCTGTGCTATTCATGATCAGTGTTTTGTTTGCCTCATGTTTTCACTATTTTTTTGTGCTTCTCCATTTGTTTTCCTATTTTTCATACTTTACCACCACAGTTTCCTTACATTTACATACATTTGGTAATATAGAGTTCTAGTTTTTTATTAGAAAATGTTAACATTGGGGCTAGAGAGGTGGGTCAGTGGTTAAGAGCACTGACTGCTTTTGTAGAGGACCTGGGTTCAATTCCCAGCACCCACATGGTGGCTAAAACCCATCCTTAACTCCAGTTCCAGGGGAATCCAATACTCTCTTCTGACTTCTGTGGGCATTGCATGACACAGGTACATTTACCTATATATTATATATGAAAATGTTAACACTAGACATATTTCAGAATTTGGGAACATATTTCCAGAAATTACAAAGGTGGCATAGTATCTATAATGTATGTCTTGTAACATCAAAATCAAGCACATTAACATTGATGTTTCTTCAGCAATTCATAACCAGTTTTTCATTTCATACAAGGCTGCTTTGCAACTAAATCTACTCCTTACTATACAGACGGTATATAGACTAAACAGCCTCTTGTCTTTTCAGGTTAGATTTGCCACCATCAGTGAATTTTGGCCCAAACTTTAAAAGATTTTAGACTTGTCAGTTATGGGTCAATCATTTTTTCTGTTGTTCATGGCTAATCTTATCTTACAATTATCCACGTCACCTTTCTGATGTGTTTCCTATTTTACTGAAGTTTTGAGTTCTAATAACTCATTTTCCTTATTTCTTTGCTTTTCCTTGGAATTTATAACCAGTTTTTTTACTCATTTCACTCCAAGCTGCTTTGTATCCAAATCTACTTCTAACTTTTCTCTTTTTAAGATTCAAAACCATACTATTTTCTAAGAAATGCTGGAATCCATCTGGGTAAGTCAGTTGTCTTTGGCATTGCTTCCTGGAGAATATCAGCCAGTCTAAGCATGCCTGCACCATTCCATGGCATAGTGGTAATCAGCTTTCACTTTTCAATTTGCTGATCTTTTTTTTTTTTTGCCTTTTGTAACTTTGCTGCTATATTCAGATAATACCACAAGATGGTGCCCAAATAGCAAGGAATTTCTCACATTTTCAAATGCTGGTCAGTCCTGACCAACTTCCTTCCCCTTAAAGTACAGTCAGGTATAGTTCAGGATTTTTGTAAGCAATTCTGTTATTTGTAAAGATAGGTTGATATAGCACCTGTTAACTCTCAAGGCACCTTGATTTCTATAATCCACCTTGTTCATGACTTAGAAAGTCTTTAATGGACTAATAGACTTAGAACCTGCATTTTATGGTATTGAAATGAATGACTAACCAAGAAATTAGAACTGATATTATGGCACATAAGGAAGTGTTTGGATGGTGTAGTTGTGTGAAGCTTGCTAAGTCACTCAGACTGGTCTGGAACTCCTGCACTCAAGTGATCCTCCTGCTTCATTCAGCCTTTCCAGAGACTTAAAGCATGTACCACTGCTCTTAGCTAGTATCTTCTCAGATCTTTATGAAAACTGTGTCTTTATGAAAGTAGAAAACCAGTTTTTTATATTAACAAATAAAGATGGATTACCTGGATTTCTACTTTGCGGGGGTGGAGGGTGGAAAATAGTTTTTGTTTTTCCTCTATTATATATGGTAATTTTTCCTTATTGGAGTAGTGTATTCCAGAAGATTTCTGGCTTCTGGAAGTGCTCTGCAAAATACTGATAGTAGTTTGCCTCTGAATGTCTTTTGACTAAGGTTATAGTGGGCACTAATGAGTGAAGCCTACTGGCCACTCTTGTCATTTGAGCAGTTTGGGAGAAGAATATTAACATATTCTTGGATCCCTATTGAAACGTTTATAAAGATAAGTACACAGGGAATATTGGGCAGTTATTTTAAAGTATTGAACATAGCTGAAAAGTAGAATTAGATCTGGGTCCTGCTAGGTTCTGACTATTCATATACTTTCTGTTTTTTCCAGATCTTTATTTTTATTATTTAAAAATCCTATAGTGGTGGCTCTGGGGGTGTAGCTCAGTGGGACAGTGTATGTTTAACATGTGTGAAGCCCTGGGTCTTGTCAGCATCACAAGAAAAGGGAACAAAACGGTAAGGGTGGGGGCAGGAGACTTGTAGTAGTATTGATTCCACTTCCAAAGCACTTGGAAAGTTTAAATTATCAACCCCTAGAATTTTGTGAAAGGTGACCAGGAAATCCACCTGTCTCATGGATAAAGTTTGTCTTGTGATTTGGATTAAAGGAACCTTACTGGCTGTGTGAAATAAACAATCATGTGATTAACACTGCTCTTTATTTACAGAGAGAAAACGGTTGGAAGCCAAGCAACGGGAAGACATCTGGGAAGGTAGAGGCCAGTCTGCAGTTTGAACATCACTTAATGAAAGGAATGATTCCATGAATTAGGAAATGTTTCCACTCTTCATACAAGAAGAACCTTCCAGAGTTGTGCACATGCAGATGAGCATGTTAAAGAAGAAGTGAACATGGCAAAGACTGGCAGAGTATAGGGAGGAGACAGACTCCTATCCTCACTCCTAAGTACAGGTCTTCAGAATTGTCCTACTGTGATGGATATAAAAAAAGAGAGTCACCATGTGGGAAGAAACAGGGAAGAACTGGCTTCCAAGAGTATTCTGGATACAACAGGTCACATTAGTGTGGGTCACACTTCTAAGCAGTCTAAAGCAAATACCAGACAACAGAGGACTCAAGCCTGCAGTGATAGGAGTTGAAGGCCTTTAGCAGCAGGTTACTCCTTAGTACCTCACAAGTGGACAGCAGAGGAGGATGGGTAGGAATCAGTCCACACAGAGACAGCACACAGAGACAGAATAGCGTCTGCTGTACTTGGCATACACGGAATCTACATTACTGGTTCCAGAACTCCAAAGCTGGGGGACAGCAGATGTGGGTATTTGGACTCCTGAGTTTGTACTAAGCTTGATGCCTGGGGCTGCTCCAGCTGCACAGCAGCCGGGTCGGGGGGAGCTGCCACTTTCATTCCTCTTAGTAAGCCAATCCTGGGGAGCTGTGTGCCAGCTCTAATTCAGGCAGTAGTATGTTGTGAGAGGGAGACATTAAAGCCTATTTTGTGATATAAGTCATTCTGGTGTTTATAAGTTTTGTTTGTCTCCCTACCCCACAAAATCCAGATCAGCTCTGTTACCTTCATGCTTATGATGCCATACTTGGTTTAAATGGATTTGTTGCTTTTATCAAATCTCAGTAAGTATACTCCAGAGTATACTCCAAAGTAGCCATCTTAGGATTGCTGTGGTGGCGCCCCTTGCCATGGCTATGTATCCTCATGCCAACATTTGCTTTTTTCCTTCTCTTTCAAATCTGACACCCTGCAGAAAACATCTGGCACACAGCATGTTCTTGGTATCAGCTTGTGCCAGAGACACTTGGCAAGCAGCACCAGACCATCTATTACATGATAAGCTGCCCGGATGAAATAAACACCTCTAGGCAGTGAGAGGTTTCTCAGAGGACATGGACAGGTCAGAGCCACCAACCTGGGCTTTTTCTGTCTCAAGTCTGCATTCTTAGTGGTTTTGGAAAGTAGTTTGGCACTGAAGAAATGGTAGTGCTAGTCTTCAAGGTTGCTGAAGTGGCAGGAAATGTATCTTATGTTTTCAACTAGGGCAGAAGCCTCTTCTTTCTTAAGTGATTTAATGCTCATGACAACGATGGATTATTACTAGTTTTGTCTAGAAAATGGTGGAATGGGGGCTCTTCAAATATTCCTCAAATGACTCTGGCCTTGGGTCTTAGTCCTGTCCTGCTATTAGTGCAGTCTTGCTTAGCATAATTTCATTCCAGTTTGGTTTTTCCAATGTGCCCTAACTAATGCCACCATGCCGTATTTGGAGATTAAGTAAGTTGTTTCTTGACCCTCTGTCTACTTCCACTTTGTCTTTGGCTTGTACCTTTAGGGTTTGAGTTCTGTCTTCACAGAAGAGACTTTTTAAAATATAAGTAGGTCTGTTTGAACAGTGTGTGCTTTCAAAGAAAATGTAGGAAATTACAGCGTGGCTTTATATTGGATGATAGACTTCTACGGCACATCTTTGCTGTTTTGATTGGTCCTAGATCTCAAACTAGGGCCTCATGTGTGCTGGACAGTACTCTACCACTGAGCTGCCCTCCCAGCCCATGTTTTGGTCTTTGATGGCTTCACGTGACCTTGGAAATAAGAGAAAGAGGTGACTGCTCTTGTCACTTGCCTGTGACGGTGCTTCTCCTGGTTGACTGCATTTTACCCTTTAAAGACATTGTTGATAGCATACAGCCCTATGTTTGTTACCCAATTGTTGTTTTTATAGCTCTCATAATTTAATTTTTTTCACATTCTAATACAGTGTTTTAACAGTCTATCTGACATCTTACAATCAGCCACTTTTAAATTTTATGTGTATGAGTCTTTTGCCTGTATGTATGTGTGCTACATGCATGAAGTGCCCATGGGGGTCTGGAGTTACAGACTATTGTTAGCTGCCATATGGATGCTGGGAACTGAATATGGGTCCTCTGGAAGAGTAGCCAGTGCTCTTAACTGTTGAGCCATCTCTCCAGCCCCACAACCAACCACTTTTAAGTCTCAGGATTATTCTTACAACCAATCCCAGAGAATGGATTTATTTTAAGGCGACATTTGAAAATTACGGGGCATTGCTTTTTTTTTTCACCATTAATTGAAAAATGTGCTTTTTAGTTATATTATTCTAGTAGCTGGGGGTTGCTACTGGCTGAAGGTAAGAAGTCCTGGCCATGCCTCGAGCTTGGGAATCAGTTGCTTGTTTATGTCTGAACTATGCCTTTTTAAGAGGAGTAACTGGAGAACACCTTAGAGCTGCCACTGTCTCATGGAACAGACAGACCTTTTTAAGATGAGTAGGTATGTTTGAACAGTATGGCTATTGTGAGAGAAAATGTTAGATATTTGGGAAGACGTCTCTTGTACTCTGCTGTGCATCTGTGTCTTATGTATGTTGAACACTGAGATCCCAGGGTTACCTAGATTTGAATTCTAGTTTGCTCTTCATAGCATGACAGCCTTTGTAGAATTACATTGGCTAGCTTCTGCAGAGTAAGCTGAGGTTCTGAGCACTCAGTTTCTCTGGGGCCAAAGTGTGCCAAGGTGAAAGTCTTCTGAGGTTTTTGGTTCTGTCTGGAATTTGGTGGTTGGTATTCTGTTAACATTCCTCATCTAGTTATAACTCATGCCAGCCACCAGTCTTCCCGTGTCTTTTCCTTTCAACTCAGAAGTATAACAGCACAGCCCTTGTATGGTTTTTTCCAGGAATTGGAACTGGCAGCATCTATCAAACTTGTGATGTGGGCAGCATGACTGAGACCAGAGCTGGTGGCTGGCTGCCTGGCCTGCTTTTTTCTGGCCTCTTGGAAACTAGATCCATCGAGAAGCGCAGGGTAACCTTTCTGCTCAAATCTAGTCATTAGTCACCATCTCCCCCCAACACCCCCAAGCTAGCTGCACATTCTTTCACAGACCACTAGCTGCATGTGTGAGTATAAATGCTGTTACTGTTTGTAAGATGTGTGCTGGATCCAAAAGGAAATCAGTCCTTGTTTACCTAAACTGCCATGCCAAAATAGGTTCCCCGTGCCCAATGAAGGAGACGAGGGGTGGAGGAGAGGAAGGAAGGAAGAAAGCACTTCTTTGTATTCACAGAGGGTACCCCAAAACATGTCCCTTTTGGTTCCCTGTCCAGGTAGCTCTTGTATCACGGGAAGGAGAGTATTGTAAATTTGCTTGGTCTATCATTCCTTTAAGGTTTTACAGCCTCTAGTATAAAAGTTTATAGTCTTTGGACTGTACCTTCTCCTTCCTTTACCCCTTAACCTTTCTGGCCCTTGTTTCAGTGTTGAGCCTGGGGAGGGGAACTGAGAAGCAGACTAGACTGTAGGTCAATATCTGACTAGTGTTACATACGGGAGGCGGGTGGTGATGGGGACAGGGGACAGGAGGGACTGTCATGAGTAGTCTGTGTTCCTGTGCATCTTCTTCCCAGCTCTGGGAAGGCAGAAACTGTAGTGCGCTGGAAACTGTACACAATCGCTGCTGGTCTTGACTTTGTAGCAGTCCATAATGAGCAACCTTTATTGGCATTAGGGCATCAGACCTCTAAGGATCATCTCTGTGTATGTCAGTGGAGAAAAGGTCAAGACCACCTGAGCAAGAGCATAGGCAGCCACCTCCAGCAGGAATGGTGCCTTTCCCCAGTTCAGTCCTTAACTAAATTAATGTTCTTCCTTCTGGTCTCTCTAGTCTGTTGTCCCTTACTCTACCAGACCTGTCTTTGTATTCCTACAGGGAGTAGATGTTCTTTCCAATTGAAAAAAATTTATTTAAGGCAAAATTGACTTGGTTTATACCTGCAATTTGGGGTGATCCTGAGATGTGTGGTAATCCTAAGACTGGATTGCCTGCCAGGTATAGGACACATTTTTTTCCCTTGGCAGAGGACCTGAGTGAGGCTGGGTTTATGGAATCTCAGCAGTCTTCTTGATCTCTTGCTGCTTTACAGGAAAGGCCCTGCCTAGGCACTTCTGTGAAACTTGTCCCTCCTCAAGCCCAAGTAACTGGGGTTTTTGACCCATCAGGAGATGGTGGGACGCTAGAGGCCTGAGTTATAGGGGTATTAGAAACACCCCTATGTACATTGGCTAAAGGTAAAGACATTGAGAGGATAGAGAGGGACTGAATTCACCAATGTCTCTGCCAGGTGTGACTTAGACAGTTATTTCGCATTGAGCTTATGGCAGAGAATTGACTCCACTTCTTGTGTACTTTGGTTCTCTGTCCTCTGTTCCTCCAAGACATTTGTAAAGCACCACTTAGATGCTTTGCGCCACAGCTCATCCCTCAGAAACTAAGAGCTCCTGAAGCTGGGAACTCTGGTAAGTTTCAGGAAAGATTGAGTCTCCTTATAGAAGAGAAGGCTTAGCTGACCAGAGCCACAGGCGCTTGGAAGAGGTCCAGAGCCATCCTGAGAGAGCACTACCATCCTGGGGGCGGGTAATCTGGCCATCAGAAGACTTCCTGAGCAGGTTCTTGGTGCTCCTTGTCACTGGCCCCTTTTCCTGTGAGTCAGGGCTCTGTGAATGGCTGGCTCCAAAAAGCTGAGGTATCTGGTGTGTTAGCAGAGCTGTGAATGTGCAGTGATGACTTCAGATCAGGTTGTTCCTGAGTCGCTGTTCCTGCTCCAAGGAGAGCTCTGCATTGGCTCGGTATGAATCACCTGTTAATCAAAGGGAGATAGCTAAATGGCCAAATCTGCCACAGCCTCTTTCCTTCCCTGACAATTTCACAACAGTTTCATTCTGCCCAGCTTGTTCTTTCCATTATTTCAGTCAGGCACAGACAGACGCCAGCCATTCTCTAGAAACAGTTTGGTCAGAAAGAACAGGCTATGAATGAAAGGGGCTGGACTGGTTCTTCTTTGTGCCCTCCCCAGGTTCATTCTGTGCCCTGGGATACTGGCCACCTGGTCTTCTTCTCTGACTCTGCAGTGTCAGTGTCAGTCCATGACCGCAGCTGTAGCCAGGCTACCGTCTTCCATAGCATTAGCTGTCACCTGGCTCCAAGTGCCCCTTCCCCCTGCAAGCCTAGAGAGGACAAGTATCCCTGTTTCACAGATGGAGACTAGGAATTGCTCAGTGTTCACTGAATCAGCACTCTCAACAAGGCCTTGGGATCCCCACAAGTGTTCTTCCCAAACATACATATACATAATTAAAATCTTTAGAAAAAAAGAAAGCTCAGGTTGAGATTTCTCACTGCCTTGGACTGCAAAATGGTGGGACAGGGTTTGGAAAGCAGTCAATCAAATGCTTTCTCCTATTCCCTTCTCTGTCTTCTGCCCCTCTTTCAAAACCCTGCTCTGAAATCACTTTTTAGTTACCTTTTCCAGCCTCCAGGTGGTTGCTTCCTCTTTTTGCTTGCTGCCCATTTATTTACTGTATAACTTTTGGCGGTTACTCACCAGGTGAAGGTTATCTATTTGTATATCTGTATACCTTCTGTGACTTTTGAGTTTCTATATCCTACTGCCTTGGCAGTGATTGATAGACTTGCAAGGCTTTAATAAACATGTTTACTGAAGAGCCAGCTCTGCCCCACACCTCAAATGCAAGTATTGCTTTGGATGCTCATCCCTCAGAAAATCCAGGCATTGTTGAACTATAAGATAGAGGGATTCTGTCAAAAAGAACATCCAGCAGGCATGGTGGTGCATGTCTTTACTCCCAGCACTCGCAGAGGCAGAGGCAGGCAGATCTGTGTGAGTTCAAGGCCAGCCTGGTCTGTATAGTGAGTTCCAAAGTTCCAGGCCAGTTGGGGCTACATGGTGACCCTGTCTCAAAAAACCAATAAGAACAGCCACCTCTTTACACTGCCTCTCTAATACAACAGTCCTCTCTGTCCCTGTTCTACTGGGAAGCAGTGATTGTAGCTGGAGGTAACAGTACAGATCAGAGGGAACTTCTTTTCCCTGTGAGGTAGTCGAGCTTAAGGTGAAGGGAAGGCTGCTTAGGAAAACTACAGGAAAAGGGAGGAAGTACTGAACTGAGAAGGAAACTGATGTGACCTGGGATGACAGGAAAGATTCTGAGACAAATTGAAAACTAAGTTTACAGTCATACATTCACAGACAGAGTTACTAGGTGAGGTTGATGGTCTGATCAATGTCACCCCATCTTTAACCATGTATAATGTAACCACAAGTCAGACCTAGGTATGTTTGAAGTTTTCCAGCTCCCTCCTCCACACAAGGCAGGTGTTACGGTGGCCCAGTTACCTGTGTGGCAGTTGTGCAGCCAGACCCGCTGCCCATCATACTTGCAGCGGCAGCGCACCATGTTGTTGGAGAAATCTGATTCTGCCACATCGTTTGTGGGATTGACAACCACCTGTAGTGGGAGGTGGGCAAGTGAAAGTGAGTGGCATGATTTCTGAGCTGACAAATAAGGTCCTTTTCATCTCATACAGTATTCTATAAAGAAACATCTCTAGCCTTTGCTTCACTAATCTCGCCAGAACTAGGCGTCAGCACCCTTCTTTCACAGGTAGAGACTAGAAATGTCCCAGTGTCCACTAATTCGGGACGCAAACCTAGGGCCTTGGGGTGCCCATGAGTGCTCTTCCCCAACAGCACAGCTTTGAAAAGTGATGGGCCTGTTGGAGATCAGGGGAAACTGATTGGCTGACCCTGGGAGATTTTGTAACTGCTGGAGAAAACAGGGTTCCTGTGGCTAGTACCAAGCATCCTTACCTGGAAGATATAGTCCCCTGGGCTCACATCTGTGATATCCACCCACTGGCAATCAATGTCATGTCTGTAGGTGTCCCAGCAGCCTACAGTTACTCCCTGTTCCCCAAAGTTGGCACACGCATAGCGCCGTTGCAGTCCTGTCGAAGAATACACAATTACCATGGCATGAAGAGGCACTCGTGACTAAGCACTACGTGGTCTTCCGCACACTTTCCAGTCCGTCCTTTACCAGCTTAGTGCACTTTTGCCCAGTTCACAGCAGATTTGGGGCCTACAGGCAAACCTCACTATGACAAAAACATTCTTACTTTGGAAGTCTAATAATCCCTGTTGGCCTAAGAGATGTGGTTGGAGATTCTTGCTGTACTGTGCTAAGTCATCTATCTACCCATGTATCCTAACCAGCCCTTTTAAGATCTGCTGTTTACCTGGATATATAAGGGACTAGAGACTGGGGATATGAATAGGAATCAGGCATTCCCTGCCCTCTGAGAACTGCTGCTGTTAGCTGAAATAGAAAGTGCTAAACCTTTGTAAGGTAGTACAAAGTGCTGGGAAATCAGACGAAATACTTTTCTTCCTAAGATTTCAGAAGGCAAGAAAATGAATGCCTTGAGTGCTATTGCCCAGCTAGAGTCTTCTGGTACCTGGGGGCTGTTGAGCAGGGCAGAGTGGAGCTTGAGCCTAGAGGCACTTGAGTAATACAACATGAGTATCTTAGAGGGCCTGTTGATAGGAACCATGTACCTGTTGGGCAGTTTGTGTCTTCTAGACAGAAGCTGGCCTTGTGCCCCTCAGCCACTTTGGAGCCATTGAGTGTGAGCAGGTCATAATGAGTGAAGACCTCGATGCTGTGGTAGTGTCTGAAGAAGAAGAAGAGCTGTCAGCTTCATAGCAACAGGAATGGATCTTTGAGAGGTTGGCAGGAAAGGTTGAGGCACTGGGCCCTATCATTACCCAGGGAGGAAAGTTCTAATAGCAGGGCAGTGCCCTTCTTTCCAAACCCAAGATTAGTGTGGTCCACAGCCTTCTTGGCTGGCATGCCTGCCAGGCAGCAAGGCACAGCTGTCCCCTTTACCTAGAGTCTTAATTCAGGTAGAAGAGGTAAAGCAGCCCCTGTCCCCTCCATCCTGGTAGCCTCCAGAAGGCTGGGACTTTAGCTGCAGGGCCCAAGGCTGAGGTGGAGGAAGGCGCACTGGCCCAGGAACCAGCCTAGGAGAGGAGAAGCTGGGAGAGAGTTTGCTCTGCTCTGTCAGCCTGGGACCAAATTGCTGCCATATCTTCCAATCCAGTGGTAATGACAACTCTGTGTGTGCTACAGGAAAAGGTGCTTATTATCACAGGCAAGCCAAGTCCTCAAATCGCTGCCCATTCCTCTCAGCTTTCCTTACCCACTGCTGTGTCCTGAAAGTACATTTTCCCCCTCCACCCTGCCTCTGACACAGGCATTGCCTCTCTCTCTGGTCTGGAGGCTCCTGATAGGAAAGGATGCTCGTTTCCTTTCCAGTATCTGTCGGTTCCCTGCCATTCTTTTGAGGCTTTGCCTTGCTGCTACAGGAATGAACAAGCCTTTTCTGCAGAGCTAGCATCCTATTTTGGGTCTCCAGGTTTCTGGAGTCCCCACTTTATCTGGTTTCTGAAAACAGTATGCCTACAATCTAGTGTGAGAAAAGTGTAATAACACTCTAGCAGAGACCAACTGCTGGTGGTCATGTCTGTCTGGGCTGTTGCTAGGGTAGCTGGTCCCCTGAGCACCATCCACATAGGTACATCCAAGAAAGATATAAGAGAAAGAGAGAGGGCAGATGGATGCTACAGGGATCCCTTTATTCTTTTTCGGGGCAAGGCCAGTCAGGTGTCTGCAAAGGTAGACTTGTCACCATGCACACTTGACCTAGGAAACCTTGCCTGAGGCCAAGAAGACCAGTCTGTTTGGTGTGTGGATTCCACTTTTTGTCCCTAACCTGTAGAGCCAAGATGTGAATTGGTACTAACCTGTGGCACTGGTGCCAAATCCAGCTGTGGCGTCCAGCCTTGGGACGAAAGTCAGCCCGACCCAGGTTGTAGATCTGTGAGGAGAAGCGCAGCAAGCGCCGGTGTCCATAAGGCCAGTCCATATGGTCAGCAGACTGTGAGAGGCAGTTCTCCTCATGGGCACAATACAGCAGGCTGAGTGGGCGGTCCTCCAGGTAGGCCGTCTCCTGCACCAGCTGGGCATTCATCACAAGGTCTGGAGCACCTGGGTTGCAGTGGGCAAGGTGGGAGTCAAGGTTGGGATGGCAGCAGAGCCTGTGCTCCAGCATGAGCACAGGCTTAGCCCCAGACTACCAAAAGAGTACAGAAAGGGCAGTTGTCAGAAGATGTGAGTTCTAATAGTAAGAGGAACAGGCCATCACTTTAACTTGGGAGGCAACTCCTGGGTTAAGGTTGCTGGTTTGGAGCCAGCCCACCAGATTTCATTCTTGGCTGATTTCCCGACTATACCATTTGCCAGTTCTGTGACTGAATAACATTTTTGTGTCTCATTTCATCGGCAAGATGGAGATAATATTAGTGATAATAATGCATAATATGTGTAATGTGCTTAGATCATTGTCTGGCCTGAAGTAAACAGGAAATGCATACAAGCTATTATTTCTTTTGTAAAATGATTTTTATCTTATAAAGTACCTTTGTGTGGCTTAATGCATAAAATCCTCTCAAAAGCTCTACTGATACCTAACTTGGTTGCTTTACCCAAGTCCCTGCTTTTCCCTGGGCCTCAGTTTCAGTCCCTTTAGTGTCCGTCAGGCTGGGAGGGAGAGTTGGAAGAGTTAGTCCTGGAGCCTGCCCTAAACTCTGCTGTTTAGTCTGCTGGGCTGTGGTTCCTGGGCCTGTGTTCTGTCTAGGCATTCCACTGTAGCCTGACCACTTCCACTGGTGACCGGTGCATTTCTCTCTCAGGCATCCTGGGCATATCCAGTGCATCTCTGCATGTAAAACTCCAATCTGGGGTTGGTGAGATGGCTCAGCCAGTAAAAGTGCTTGCCATACAAGCCTGAAGACCTGAGTTCCGTCTCTGGATCCCACGGTGAAGGAGTGAACTGAGTCCAAAAAGTTTTATATGTAAATAATAATAATAATAATAATAATAATAATAATAATTTAAAAATCTCGAATCTGCCGGTGCCTGGGTCTGACTAGGCAGCTCAGGGCTCTTAGCCTCTTCTGAAGCCACTTCTACTGTTGCTGTACCAAGTGTCACTACAGGAATGTAGAGATCCATTGCTGTTGCCATGTAACCTCAGAAGAGAAAAATGACCTTTCTCTGGGCTTACTCATGCCAAGACATAGGTACTTGGGGTTTAGGTATCTGGGCAAAGGTGTCTATGGGTGAGGCTGGGTACTGATAGGGCTGGATGTGAACACTGGCTTGTTTCACTGTCTGGGCTTGGAGTATGCTTTGCTACATGATGCCTGTCCTGTCACTAAACATGCACTTGAAATTCCTGTGGCTTTTGTTGAAGAGGGCCAGGATATGATCATTGACAAACCTGAGTTCTTGAGGGAAAGGAAAGTTTTCAGAGGGAATGGGGGACGGGGGAGAGCATAAAAGAAAGAAGTGAGAAAAATTAAGAGAGAGAGGTGTGTCTACAGGCTGCAGGTTGACCCCCTGCCCAGCTGTTAGGCAGCATCAAATGGGCTCAAGGAGCAGCTCTCACTAGAAGCAAAAGAGCAGAGATGGTCCAAAGTTGCCGGGCAGGGGAGTTCAGAGCAGGCACCCAGCATGCAGTGAGGCGTTGATGCTGAGGGTACCCCTCTGACACCCTATTGCTCCAAGGAAAGGTAAGATAGGTGGGTCTAGGGTTCTCTCCAGGGGCTACCGCACAGAGAACTCCCTGACAGGTTAAGATGTCTCTGGGTTGGAGTGTGGCTGGGAAGAAGGTCAAGTGGACATTGGGGTTGATCCCAGCCTGCAGCCTTTGGATGGGATATAGTTATCTTGGCCCAGGCCTTGTTGGTCAATGTCAAACAGATGCTGTTGCCCTGAGAATCTGGGTCTGTGGAGCAAACTTGCCACAAAATGGTCTTGTTCTCAAGCCTTTTGGACAAGCTTCACAGCTTAGAAGGAATCCACAGCTGGGCTTGGGCTCTGGTGTGCCTCACAATTATATACCCTCTGCAATGTCTTTCAGAGTGTTTTCTATAAACAACAATAAATATATTTTTATGTTGTAACTCAGCACACACACAGTTCCAAGGAAAATCATTACTAAGCATAATATACCATCATGTTTTCTCTTGCTTCACTTTTTAAATCGTTGGTCATAACCCCCAAGTTAAAGAAGCCTCTCCTATCTTATGGTTTTCTGTTTCCTTTTACATTCCATGGGGGTTGGGGAGGGTAGGCTTTGCTTTTTTTTTTTTTTTTTTTTTTTTTTTTTTTTTTTTTGGTTTTTTTGAGATGGTCTCCCTGTAGCCCGTAGCTGGTCTAGAACTTACTTTGTAGACCAGGGCGGCCTCCATCTCACAGAGATCTGCCTGTCTCTGCCTCCTAAGTGCTGGGATTAAAGGTATGCGCCACCATGCCTGGCAAAGCGTTCTGTCTTAATAGGACAGATAGCTCAGCCACACAGGGTTGGGTCGACCCCCTGACCCTGCCACCCACTGTTCCACTACTTACTGTTCATGCAGGCAACTCCAGCTGAGAAGCGCCCTGGGCTGTGGGAGCAGTGCACAGGCCCGTGCCTCTGACACTGCTGTAGGGCCAGCTCTGTGCCTGAGCAGCGCACCCCACTCATCACCACTTCTTTGGCCTCAGGTGTCGCCTGCCAGTACCAGGTATCCTAAGAAGACAGCCAGAAACACCCCATCAGAATGGAGAGGTGCCTCAGGGGTCATCTCTGATGCCTCCATCATCCCATCCCCATCAGACCAGGTCCGGAACAGGCCTGGAAATCTTTATGAATGAGAACCCCATCCCATGGGCAGTCCATGTCACATTTCGGCCCCTGTGAGACTAGAAGTTTGTTCCATGTATTGGGGTAAACCCCTGCTGCCTGAGGCATTGTCCCCATCCATATCCAAGAAGGCAGCTCTCTGCTGTTAGAGCAGGTTGGACCTGGTCCTTTTTTCCCATGCCCAGTGGTGTAAGGCAGCTCTCTGCTGTTATAGCAGGCTGGACCTGGTCCTTTTTCCCCATGCCCAGTGGTGTGTTCCCATCTCCCAGCTGCTGCTCACACAGCCCCTCAGGGCAGAGCCCTTGCATCATCAAGCCCATATGGGTGCATGTGTGGATGTTTCTCCACTGTAAACATGCCTGAATCCTTTTGGTTTTGTTTCCTGACTGTCTTTTGCCTCCCATATACTGTCATTTCTCACTTGAACCACTGTAGCAGCCTATATTGTTGAGTGCCTATATTCTGAGTAGTCTCTACCCAGCTATTTTCCAGGCAGAAAAGGAAGAAAGTTTTAGCCATCTGAAGTGCAGGGGTGAATGACCTTGTCTCTGCCTCCTTTACGCTTGAACTCCACACCTGTTCCTCTTAAGAGCCACACTGAAACCCTTGGCCCCTGATTTCCTCAACTGAGTCAAGCCTTCTCTAGTTACAGGCCTATGCATGGGCTGTTTATTCCTCCTGTACCTTATAAGGATAACTTCAATTTATGGTTCCTATAGGTAAAGCCATGTACCAAGTCATATGAGCAGCCTTCACAGAGCTGCATTCTTGTCTACCACAGCATACCCCTCACCTGCCTCATGCCCACCCATAGCTTCACTCAATAAGTGATTGATGAACGAAGAGCCAGCAGCTCTAGCAGAAGTTTTGATCCTGTCAGCCCAAGAGGCTAAGGTTATAGGGAAGAGCTAGACAGGGGCCTACCTTGATGGCGAAGTTGGCAAAACCCAGGCCAAGTTGTCGGCAGGTCACCATGGCTTCAGTGAGCCCCCAGTGGTCACTGCACACAGTCCCCCATCGTGGGACCCCATTCACCTCCACCTGCACTTCTACCACACCCTCTTCGGGGTTGCGCCCACCAGCTAGGCGTACCTGTAGCGGTCAGAGGCATGGAAGGAATGGGAGAACCCAGGACTGCAAACCTGGAGGCTTCTTCCCACGTCTGTTCCATGTGACCCTGCACCAGACTCTCCCCTTCTCTGCTTGCCTCCAGTTTGCCAAGGGTTTTTGTATCTGCCACCTCACTGACAATCACTCCATGAGAGTTGACCCTGTTTTCCAAGATAAACCAGCAACCTGCCCACAGTCCCTGCTAGCACTAACACTTGAACCAGTGGCAGCCTTCAGTGCCACTCCCCTTTAGGACCAGCCTGTGGCACTGGTCTGAGGCACCTTCTCTCAGCTTTACCCAGGACCTGGGAGTGTGGGCCATGTCCCCCTGCCATCTGTGGGAATACAGGTGGGGTCAAGTGACAGAAGAGAGGAGGGCTCTCTAGGCTAGCCCCAGGGGCAGGTGGACGCCCTGGCAGAAGCACTAACTGTCTCTCCTGAGCCCCTCCCCCTGGCTCCAGGTTGTGTCCTGGGGGTTCCCCAGAAGCCTGCCTTGAGGACCTACTCAGACCTAAACCCACCTGATTTTGGAAGCCCATATCAGGAATGTTGCACCTGACTGCAGCATCATTCGAATGTTGACAACCATTCTGGGACCCTTCCAGAGCGAGGCAGTCACTGAGGGTCCGCTCATATCCCCTGCAACGCACCTCACTTAGGTGAATGGGCCCTAGCCCTGTGGGGGAAGAATATATCATGTGAGGCTCCATCTCTTAATTCATACCTGTGACTGCTCCTGCCTGGGATGAACTTCCCGTTCTGGGTCACCAAGAAAGCCAGTGACCTCCTTGCTTACCTTGGCCCAGCTGGGCCCCAAAGAGGGCTTCTTTCGCAGAGCCAAAGCCAAGCTGACGACACACGACGCTAGCTGAGATGAGGTTCCACCTGTGGTCACAGACTGTGCCCCACTGGCGGTTCACAAGCACTTCCACACGGCCCTCGCCCACCTGAGCCCCAGAGCGAAGGCGTACCTTCAGTTCCTGCTGGAGGAAGAGAAAACCTGCTTCAGGAAGGACAGCCCGAGGGGCTGAACCACCATGGGGACCCCAAGGTGGGAATCCTCCAAGTCTGGTGGCCAGAGTTAAGGCCTGGCGTCTAGCCCTGCTTTTGATGTCTCTTAACTATCACCTTGAATAAGCCAACTTTCTTGACCTCCCCTTCTTCAACGACACTAGTGTGTGTGTGTGTGTGTGTGTGTGTGTGTGTGTGTGACGCCTCACTAGCATTCACCTACTTTTTATAACAAAGGGCCAGGCTCAGGTTCAATACCTTCAGCCTCAATGGACTACGGCTATAATTACCGTTTTCACGGTTGCCTTCTATTTACGGCAAGTGATGTCAACTTTCCATTTATGGTGGAATGATAAAGGAGCTCTTAAATAAATTCCAAGATTCTACCATTCTGTGAGACAAGCTCCTGCTCCCAGTCTGGTTCCTCTCTTCCTCTCTCCACTGGGCAGGCAGGGACCTTCAGGCCAGTCCAGGGTCCCCTGGGGCTCACCTCTGCCCAGGATTCCTTGCGCCGGGGCTTTGGCTTCTGTGGATGAAAATGGGGCCCTGCCACACAGCTAACCACAGCGTGCATGCCACCTGGGCAGGCTGGCCGCAGCTTGCCCCGTCCTGGAGCCACCTGCACCTGACACTTGGCCAAGTGGGGCTCTGTCCCCAGACAGTCGACCCGATGAATCCAGAAGGAATTCTTATTTGTCAGGCTGTTCAGCCTGGAAGACAAGGGAGTACGGGTGGAGAGGGGCTTAGGTAGGAATGTGGGAGGCCAAAGGGGAAAGGGGAGGAAAGGAGAAGAGGAAGGGTCAGGGGAGGAAGGAGGAAGCCCTTCACGCCATACCCCTTTACTTGCCCTCTGAGGTGCCACTCCTCACCTAGACTTGGGATCCTTCATCTTCAGGTTCCAGACTTTCCTGTGGTAGAAAAGCAGATGGGGGTGGAAGGGTGCAGGAATTACCCTCCACCAGCATGATCTCAATTTCTTCTAAGTTTATACAAGATTTCATAGATTATTTTTTTACAGACTTTCCTTCAATACTGAGCTTTGCAAGCAGCTCTGATAGGATTTCCACCTCACAAATGATATCCCCCTCCACCACCACACATGCACATACACTTGATAGCGAAGGCAAGAAAGGCCCCCTGGCTCATCCTATGTACTCTTCACTGCAACTGGGGCTGCCCCTGGAATTATGCAGCTCAGTTTTGCCCCTCCCCCAGTCCAAGTGAAGGGATCCTTTAGGGAGCCCCTAAGAGAAGAGGCCTAGGAAAGGTACCCTGGGAAGAGAGGATGTCAAGGGCCTTGCTGGGGTTGGGGGGGTGGTGCCACCCAGGCTGTAATCAGGGCTGCCCTTCTCAAGGGTGGGGGGTGAGTCAGCAGGGCCTGATGTGCAATTACCAGGTAGTAAAGAGCCAGGGGCTCACATCCCCATCATCCCTAAGGATAGAGCCACGTAGCTGCCCACCATGCTCCATTCAGGACCAAGGTCATCTAAGCCAAAAACAAGGGACTTGCAATTGCTTCAGTGAAGCAGGACAACCCGAGTGAATCAGGGTAGATGACATGGAAGCCTCCAGGGAGAGTCCTCCATCATGAGACACACTTGAGGGTGTCACTGGCACAGCTGGTGGGATTGGAACTGTAGTGGTTATGGATCTGATGCAATCTTCTGTGACAGTTTGGCCACATTTCTGACAGAATATTTTTGTCTCTTTTCCCCAAACTTCCCACCCAAAGCCTTACTTGCACCCAATCACAGCCTGGCTTTGGTCAAAGTAGAAGGAATTCTGTGAACAACAGAGTGAATGGTTGAGGCCCAGGTGCCCCACCCAAGGCCCACAGCTAATTACAGATGGAGCCAAGATCAGGACACATTTCATCTACACTTATGGGTGACGCTGTGAAGATCTTCAGGTAAATCTTTTTAATGAGGGACACAACATTTTACATTCAATTGATTTCGCTGTGCACCGTAGCCAATTATTTTGAGTTGGCAAGCACAAAGTTTATTTTCTGACCACTTGAGGTGATTCTCAGGACCTTGAAGCTCTTGCTCACTCACTCTTAACTATCCTGAGGGGTCTGGACCCAGCAAATCCAGTCACTGTCCTCAGTTGGGCTGTTTCCCTCCAGCCCCAGGTGTGGAATGGCCTACCACAGACCCCCCATCCTCACCAATACATCCCTCCAGACCCTATCTGAACATGAAGGTTCAACACACACACACACACACACACACACACACACACACACACACACACACATGCCCAGCTGGGCAGCCCTACTCCTCTTACCTGTAGTAGTGGTCGTTGACAGGCACCTGGCTGGGAAAGCCCAGCATCCCGCACACAACCCTGCTGTTGTTCATGGTCCAGCCCTGGTCACACACCTGCCGCCAGTGGCCCTCGTACCGCACCTCCACAGCCCCTTCAGTCACTGGGCTGTGCCTCTTGGCACTGGCGAGGATGGGCTTGAGCCGTACCTCTTCCAGCCGCCGGCCCTGCAAGGCAGAGAACCTTATTGTGGGCCATGTCCCTGGGGTCCTGGGCCTCCTACAGGCCATTGCAGGTCTCCACTCAGAAGTCCAGGCTCAGAACTCCTTCAGCCCATCCTCCCATCCCTCACTGTCAAGCCCAGAGAACAGGAGGCATTTGCTGAAGGCTACAGGGAAAGTGACAGGCATGGTCTCTACCCAGACCCTTTCCCTCATCTCAAATTTTTCACACTGGAGAGGAGGCACATCTGTGTCCTTTCCTGGGTGTTGTTGCAGAGTATGGGAGGCAACTGCTGGCCATAGAGGAGCCTTTGTGCCACCCTGAGAAGAGCTGGGATGGGCAAGAACAGTTGCTTGAGACCAACCCCTGGATTCTTGAGCCCATGGGACCTGACACAGCCCTGAGTGACTTAAACCAGTGTGAAGCCCCCTTCTGGTGGCCCATTGCACATCCAGTGGGCTGGGGCCTGCTGTCCTCAGACTGAGGCTGCCTGGCAAGCGGAGGTTGGGAACAAGAGCTCGGCCCTGCCCGTTGCTGTTGTTTGGCTTGAGCTGTTTTTAGCTCAGAGTTGTTTGTGCTGGGAAGAGGCAGCAATTGTGGCCAAGCCTTGTGGGTGAAGCAGCCCCCTTGCCCCACATCTGCCTCCCTCATGGGGAGCAGCTTTTGTGGTTCCCAGAAGGCCTGGCGTCTTATCCCTTAAACAGCTCTACATCAAGCTGGAGCCAGGATTTGCTGCTCAGCCCAAGCTCTGCTGGTCCCTTCTTCCTCCAGACTCACCCTACAGGAGGCTCTCTGCCCTACCCAGCCCTCAACTCAGGCCAGGCCCTGTACAGCCTCCTCACCTGGGGTCCCAGGGCATTGGAGACCTTCTCAGAGTGGTAGCCATGCTGGCGCTGTGGATGGCACACCACTCCAACGTCTTCTGAGTGTCTGCAGTCACTGATACCCCAGCCATTAGATCCGCACTGGTCTAGGGTGCTTTCAGTGCCCAAACAATGCACATTGTCCAGCCAAATGGGGCCTGGGGGGGAGGGGAAAGTGAGCTCAAGGATGGGCAGAGAGGCCTCTTCTGGGTGGGACCCCCACTCAGTAAGCACTGGGGAGCAAGGAAGAGGAGGAAATTGGTTTCTCTGAGTGGTCTTAGTATCCATGCCCCTGCTCACTGCTTCATTTTGGTGTCAAGTCCACAGAATCTATTTCCGGAAAATGGCAGGTAGATCTAGTAATCAGACTCGCCTGTTTATCCATCTATCCACATGTCCATCCATCACTTAGTAAGTACCCACTATATGCTAATCACTATGCCCAAAGAAGTTAGAATTTACTGATGGTGAGGCTGGTGATCTCATTAATAGAGAGAATGTGAAGGTCAGGGCATACTCAGGAAGTGCCTGCTGGAGGCCATTTGAGCTTGTCATGAAAGACTGGTGGGCTTCCAGAAAGTTCTGTTGGAGCCTCAGTGAGCCCAATCCTAAAAGAAGCTGCCTCCCATCTTCTTGCACCCTGTGGGGCAGTTTGTCACTGTCACTTACCCTCTCCTTGGCCATACTTGGCACTGTGTGCCCAGGTCAAGGCTGATTCAAAGCCCAGCTGTCGGCAAGCCACTGTGGCCTCCTGGAGAGCAAAGTCATCATCACACACAGTGCCCCACTGGCCCTGGTGCAGCACCTCCAGGCGGCCCTCCTCTGGCCTGTTTGCTGGGCCCACCAGCCGGAGCTTCTTAGCACCTGGTGACTGTGGCCTGCTGAAGGGGGCCTGGCCTAGCAGCAGCAGCAGCAGGAACAAGGAGATGGTGGCTGGTGGGGACCACATCATGGAGACTTCAAGGGCACCTGGGGACAGAGTAAATGATCACCACCTGTCCCCATAACTGAAGCCTCCCCAGCAGTATGTAGGCAAGTAGATGAGGGCCTACCCTCCAAATGGAGTCCTGGGAACTCTCCAGGGGTGCCTCGGGTCAAGAACATTTGCCCAGGGGTCCTGCCTTTGCCTGCCTTTGCCTTCTGATGATCCCAACCCTGAGCAATTGGTAAGATGCTACTCCCCTACCTAAAATAAAGCACATTGGACTGCTGGAATAGAAAGGATTATTAGGGAATCAAGGGTTCTTGGGCTCACTGCTATGTGGCTTGGCCAAGTCTTTTAAACTCCAAGCTCCAGTTTCTTAAGGTGAGGAGGTTGAGACAAATGTTATCTGCTGTCTCCTTCGGCTTCCACACCCTGCCCCTCAGCCACTGCCCAGTCCCAGGTTCAGACTATGCTGTAACACACACTTTTGGAGGACTTGCTTTGGTCCACGTGTTAGGCCTGGTGTTAGGACACAGAAATGAAGACATTATACTCCTACTCTTATCACACAGAGAGAAGGAGAGTTGGAGAAAGCTTTAAAAAATGGGACATGTTCAGTAAATACGGTGGCTTCCACCTATAATCCCAGAACTTGGGAGATAGAGGCAGGAAGATCAAGAATTCAAGGTCAGCCTCAGTTACATGGAGAATTTTAGGTTAGCCTCAGTTACATGGTGATTTCAAGGCTAGCTTGGGTCCTCTCTCAAGGAAAAAAAAAAAAAAAAAAAGGATCCCTTAACCTAGGCCTTGTTGGAGAAGAAGAAAGATGAGTGAGCAGAGGGTACTCATTCCATCTGTGCTGGGGACTTGGAGAGGAAGTAGGAAAGGGCAGGCCCAGATGACCAAGGGCTCTGCTCTGTGCACCTAGCAGGTTTGCCTTTCATCTTGTCAGAAATGAGGGGCCCTAGAAGGGTTTTAGGCAGGGACACATACATCAGACAAGCTGGGCTCATCCTCTGTCCTCACACCTTAGCAACCTTGGTCCTGGCAGGGCAGAGAAATGAGTCATGGCTGGACAGAGCTGCCAGAGACCTCCAGGACCATCTTTGCTGACACATCTTTGCACCAGTAGAACTGGCCTCTTGGGGATTATCAGTTCCTCCAGGTGTTGGAACACAACTGAAGACATTAAATATACCCCTTACCTTCACTATACAGAGAAGGAGAATTGGGAAGGATTTTAAAGAAGAGACCTGTAAGCCAGGAGTGATGATATTTGCCTATGATCCCAACACTTGGGAAATAAGGGCAGGAAGATCAAGAGTTCAAGGCCAGCCTCAGCCACCTGGCAACCTTGCTCTTAAGGGGAGTATTTAGCACATCAACTTGAGCAAGGAGAACCATCCCAGTACTCCCTGCTGCCTCCCATGGTCCCCCTTTTCTCCTCTGTGCCCCCCTGAGGAGGTGGATGCCAGAGCCTGAGCCACGCCAGTTACCAAAGGAAGAGTATTCCCACCCCCAAATGACAAGGGGGAAGGATGGGGCTCACTGCCTGGGGTCACTGGGTCTGAGCTGAGCGATGACCCTAGGTTACCCCCACTAGAGGTCACGGTGCTCCATCAGAGGCTGTGTGTCTAGTGTCCCGTTTTCCTCACTTGGAGCCTCAGCTTCCACACTTGTAAAATGAGGAGTGGCCCTGGGAGATGATGTGCTGCCGGGACTTCTGCTGGACTGGGCCAGTCTGTGATGTGGCTTATGCTGAAGTTCCCACAGCATGGGGGAGGTCTCAGAAGCCATGCACAGTCCCAAGTCTATAGGCTCCTTGCTGGGTACAGGGGTGGCCTTCTGCTTCAGGACCTTGGGCTCTGGGGCAGGTTGGTTCCCTCCCATTGAAGCAGCAGACACCGGGACAGTTCCTTTTTGTACTTCCCACCCTCCAGACCCCCAAAACTTTTGCTCACACTAGACTTCTCATAATTCCCAAACATAGCCTTCATCTTCCAGTGCCCAAGTCTTTGCTGTCTGCTCATTCTACTCAGACTGTTAAACTCCTACACATCTCTGATAGTCAACTCAAATGCTGCTCCCTCCAGTGAGGCCTCCCAGCTCCCCACCTTCCTATTTGTTCCCACAGCACTGAGTGCAGGAGGACTGGGCTGAGAATTAGCCATTAGGGAAGGAGGGGGCCCCTTTCCCAAGTGAAGAAGTGAATCAGTGAGGGGAAGGAGAAGAGAGGAGAAGGAGCTGAGGATGATAATAATAATGTATTTAGAACTATTTCTTGAATATGCACCTCTGTTTTACAGATGAAAGGATCAGGGCTAGAGAAATGAAGTAACCAGACTGGCCAGGATTCAAACAGGCAGCCTGGATAGAAGCTCAAAACCACAAGAATGATGGATGATGGACAAGAAGGGAGAAGAGAAGGGAAGGGGACGAGTGAATGAAATTGCACCCTGTTGTGGTTATGACCCAGGCAGTGGTGTGAGGGCACTGGGATAGGCACCAGCACCCATTGCCACCAAGTGGAATCCTGGACCCTGGCAGCTCCAGGCAGAGGTACCTGCTCCAGGTGCTGCCAAGGGACACAAGCACCTGGCCTGGCCTAGCCAGTAGTGGGGGCTGAAGGAAGACAAGTGCCCAAGAAATTGATGGAGACAGCATGGAGGTACTGTCCTGGAGCCCCACCTGTGGGTTACTCACAGTCCCTTCTCTGTAGCTCTCTGGGCTGGGCCCCAAACACTGCCTGGTGTCATCACTGTCTCTGTGGGCCAAACAGCCTGCAACTGGGCTCCCCCTGTGGGGCTGGAGAAGGTGGGGGGTTGAAACCCCACTCCTACTCCTGCCTACACTCCCTCACCCCCAAGTAGTCAGCTCTGGGCTGGTAGTTGAGGAGCCCAGTTCTGCCCTGGCTCTTAGTACTCCAGGTCACTGGAGTGACATCCGATCTCATTTTGCCCTTTCTATCCCCTGCATCCTGACTGGGTGACAAATGGTTACACACAGTGTGTTCACAAACCCGACACACAGGCACCCTGGGGACCAGGGTGTACCACCCATGCAGCTTGGGCCAACCTCCCCAAGTTGGGTACTTGTCCAATTGGGAAACAAACTGGGGGGGGGGGAGCTGGGCTGACCATGAAAACCCATCCCTCCCGGTCCCCAGCCCTCAGGAATCCTCAGAGGCTTGCCGACCCAGGAGAGACAGAAGTAAGGACAGACAGACAGCAAGAGGCGGGCCAGGGATCGCGCCAGGCGGGAGCTCACCAGCTGGATCAGGCGGTCGAGGCTGGGCCAGGCTCCTCGGCGGAGTTGTGCTAACGGGACTCCCGGGCACCCAGGGGGCCTTTTATCCGCCTGCCGTCCGCCCCCAGCCTCGGCCTTCCCCGGGGAGGTCGTAGGCCCCGCCCCGGGCGCGCCGCTGTGCACCCGCGCCCCGCCCCGCCGGCCCTCCGCCGGGCGTGCAACTCTGGAAGCAGCCAGGCCGGGAAGTGCGGGAGGGGGTGGGGTGCGGGGGAGGGACGGAGTCCCGGGAGAGGCAGGGATGCCAGGAGAAGTCGGAGTCCTCTGCCGGCGCGGTTTCCTCTTCTGCCTGATGGGGAGATCACGCGAGTCCCATCCAGTCCTGGCACTGCGGGACAAAGCAGGCACCCTTCTGGGGTGAGGGCCCAGTTCAGTGGTAGGATGCTACTGCTGCACACGTTTAATAACAGGAGGCCTCCCTGTGCACTGGACAACGGAGGTGTGGGGGCGAAGCTCTCCTTTGCGCATTGTGCAGTTGGGAACACTGGGTCCCAGGCGACAAGACTTGCTCCCTAGTGCCGTTAAACTTTCGCTACTTAGCAATGATGAAGGGAGGGGTCCTGGGCCCTTGTAAGGCTCACAGGGGTGTGGAGGGAGTGGACGGTTTTGAGGAGTGGGAGGCTATGGAATATAATAAATTAAGAATGAGAAAGGGGGAGTCTCCCAGCTGAAGTCCAGCTCCGGACTTCCCACAGTCCTGGTCCCATTCAGTGACTGCAGGATCCCATCTGTGAAATGGGCAGAGGCTTCTAGCCTCCCAGCTTCCTCCCTAGTCCCAGAGCAGTCAGTGGTGTGTCCCTTACCTTACCCCCACTTTACCTGGTGTCCTCGAAAAGGCTCCTTCATTCAGCAGCTGCTATTGATTTTCTCCTATGTGCTAGACAGGGGGCTGGAGTGCTAGACACTGGCAGGGGGCTGTTCCACTCTGGAAGGGGAGGATGATGTGCAAATAAACGTGACCTGAAAGCAGAGGGTAGTAAAGTCCAGGATGGCAAAGTGGACCTTGGGGATTTCTGGGTGAAGGCCAGGTCACCCTGACCCTGTTGCCAGAGACCTGCCATCCATCCCTGGCTGCTCATGTCTAAGATGTCCCCCCAGTGGCCCTGCCCCACCCCAGCTGGGCCTGAAACATTCCCTGGGATGAATCAACAGGAAAGAATGCTCCCAGCCTCAGGTCAGTGGCAGCGGCAGCAACCGGCTCCTCCCCCAGGGACAATGAAGCAGCTGTGGACCAGGGTGCCAGGTATGCCTGGGCCCCCCACCCTGTGCCCAGCCACCTCTCATGCTGAGCCAGGAGCAACATGGAGGGCTCTGCATGCTGCCAGTCACCCAGGGAGCCTGGCTGTCCAGAACTAAAAATACCCTGAAGCCCAACGAATGAATGGATGTTGTCCGGAAGTCCTTACATTGCAAGACTGGGCAGAGGCTTGGCAAGCAGGGAGGAGGGGCTTCCTTGAGAAGTGAGCTACTGGGCCTGGCAATAACTGTGGTGGGATTTGCTTCAGGTACCATATCCTCATCCTTAAGTGCTACTGTGTGGAAATTGAAGGGGTTTGTCTCGGCTGGTTCTGACTGGATTGAGATGCTGTGGTTTAATTCAGTTTGCAGCCTCCTCCTTCTTGCCTGGATGAACTCTCAGGACTTCAGTCCAGTGTTTGTGACCCTCTACCATACTCTTTATGAGCAAGTCTGTGTCTGCCTTGCTTCTGGGGCCCCTTGACCTTATTTTATCTCTAACCTGGACTCTATTATAGGCCCCAGCATAAAGCAGTTGCTCAGCAAGTGATCATGGATTGAATAAATGGGCCCAGTGGTCACCAGTCCCTTGATTGGTCCCAGGGAAACACAGACCTTCTGTGATCTATCCTGTCCTCAGTGAATTTTCAGAGTGGTGGGAGATACACTAATCAGCCAGCCAAGGAGAAGGCCTTGCCAGCATCCCTGTAACAGCTGGCAGGTGGGGAGCTGTTGCTCTGGGTACTATCTCACTCAATCTTCTAAAAAATCCTATGGACTGTACTTTCATCATTTTGATCACAGACAATAAAACAGGGGCACAGAGGGGTTATGTGGCATGGCTGTAGTCATACGCTATTAGAATTTTCAGTGGGGAACTAGAGCAGAAGTCTAGGGCTGAGAGGATGCAGAGGGAAGACAAAGCTTCATGAAAGAAGTACTTGGTGTCTGGATGGCAGGGGTCATTGCCTAGGTGGGGTGGATGGAGGGTAGGGTGTGATGGTTAGTATTGATGGCCAACTTGACGGGCTCTAGAATCGCCTCAGAGACAAACCTCCAGGCATATCTGTGAGGGAGTTTCTATCTTAGGTTAATTGAGGTAGAAGAGCCATTAACAGTGCTATGAAGCACTGTTCCATAGGCTGGGGTTCTGGACTGAAGAAAAAACAGAAAGGGGGCTGAGCACCAGGATTTACATCTCTCTACCTTCTGAGTGCAGATGCAGTATGACCAGCTACTCCATATTCCTGCCACCATGACTTTCCCACATGCCTGTGCCCTCAAACTGAGTCAAAATAAACCCTTCCTTAAGTTGCTTTTGTCAGGCATTTTATCACAGTAATGGGAAGAATAACTGAGACATGAGCTGATCAGGAAAGGAAAAAAACTTTCCAGTGTGTTGGACACTGTGGGTGCTGCATATACTGTGTAATTTTACAAGCCATCTGACCCAGCCAAGGCACTTCCTTCAGCACCTATCTGTCCCTCCTTTGCATCCCTGCCCCACTGACATCCCCAACTCCTGCACTGTGGAAAAGTCTCAAAATTACTCTTCTTTCTTCCTTGTGATTGCTGTCCCTGGCCTCATTAGGCCTCCCACAGACTGACCTTCCTAATGTGTTGCCCAGCCCTGGCTCTAGAGCCCTCAATAGCTCCCTTGTGCCATAGGACATGGGGAATCTGCAGTTGCTCCTTCTGTCACCTCTGTTCAGAGTGCCTTTGTTCTGACCTCATTTTCCCTATTCTAACTATCCTGGTCTAACTCAGGAGCCAGCTCTGCCACGGATTCTTCCTTTAGAGCTCCTCTCATGAATGCCCTGTAAATCACAGAGCTGAACCAGACACAGTCTCTACTCTCGAGGATCTCTGGCTCAAGCACATGAAGAGCCGTGAAGAAGACAGGCTGTGATCATCCATGTAGGATGAATGGGGGAGAACAAGCCAACAAGGTAGGCTTTTCCCTGGCCAAGAGCCATTTAGCAGGTGTGGGGCTCTTGTTCAATTGTGATGGGAGCTGGTGGGGGGTTGGGGAGGTTGGCATTTAGGTGGTTAGGGTAGTACAGTGAAAAGAGAAAACCTAGCAAGGAGGTGAGGCTAGCACAGGAGATGGTTCCTGGGGAGAGAGGAGGGTGAGCTGGCTGTAGGAAGAAGAAGAAATTATGAGCAAGGCAGAAATGGTTTGCTTCATGACATGCAATGTTACCTCCTTTCCCTCTGGGAAAACTTTAGAGAATTTTTCCTTTATTAAGTAAGGTTTGAAATTGGACAGTCTCACCCCAACATCCACAAGACCCTGGGGCAAGAGTCAGAGGGATCTTATTCCTATATATACTTAAGTATATAAAAGTAAAAAATCAGTCTAACTCAGTGCTAAGTAAAAGACGGCCTGTCTTCCAACTCCCTCACCCCACCCCTTTTCAAAAACTTGGAGAATCAGGTTGGAGTTCAGAATTTTCTACTTATAGCTCTGAGTGGAACATGTTACTAGGGAGCATCTTCCTCTGGCCTCAGGCCCCAAGTCACCCACCCTGTCCCTCTTCTACCCTCTCCTTATCCTCACTGCAAGGGGCCATTGGCTCTCACAGCTCCCTACACTATGTATAACTCTGCACATAGCTGCCCTACACATATCTCATACCAAGGGGTGTGTGGGGGACCAAGTCATTCAGCTTTGGGCTAAAAGAAGGAAGGAGATGTCCCCAGGGAGAAGACAGTGAAGACCTTTGATCTGGGTTTAAGTTGAAGATATTGTATAGAAAGTGCTAAAGAGTGGGCAGTGAGCAAGAAACCAGGAGCCCAGGACACACAGTAGGGACAGCAGCATCCTGACTGAGAGCTGTGGGCCTCCAGCCCCCAACCAGGTGGGAGCTGACCTCATCAATGGGTATGTGCATGGAGTGGGGCACAGCTTTCTAAGAATTGGTGGGTTCAGATTCAGGCTGGGGTCAGACACTGGGTTTGGGATGGAGGGACAGCAAGGTGTATTCTAGGCAGCCAACTGCTAAAGGCTGGGAACAGGACTCAGACCCGCCACTTCCACCTTTGCCTTCACATCTGGGATTCCCAATATGCCCTGAGTTCTCACAGATGTTTGGGCCTTCAGTTCTCCTTGCTACCAATAGCTCATGCTCATCTCTTCACCAGAGACCCTCTCCTGCCCCCATAGTGTGATGACGCTCTTACTTTATCACCTGCCCCCCCCAGATTCTCATATTCAAAGTCCCCTCACCAGAGGAAGGTTGCTGTCACCATCACCATCATCTCCCCTCTCTGTCATCATTTCCTCCTCCCCCTCTAGACCACTCTGTACCCTCCCTCCTCTCTCCTACTTCTCCCCCTTAGCCACACACCCTCCTCAAATTCCCCTCCAACTCCTCTCCAGCTCCTTCAGAAATACCTCCCACTCCTGTCTGCCAATCCCCAGGCCACCTGCCATCCCTTGGTTCCATCTCAGCAGCTAAACACAGGCACAGCACAATGCCCAGGCATGCTTCTGTTCAGGTAAATTAAAGCCATATGTTCTGTGCGGGGGTGGGGTGTGTATGTGTGTGTGTGTGTGTGACTGAAGGAATACAATACCAGCGCCTCAAAGCCCCTGAGGTCCCTTCAGGAGTTCACCACGTCTGCACTGACCTTCTTACCCGCCAGTAATTGAGCCCCTTTTTCCTCAAGCAGCACCAGACAAGTTAAATTAAAAGACATTTCTTATGCCATGATGTTTCCCTGGGTCTGTTATAGCAACCAATAGAGTAATTGCGTTGCTTTTTCCAATCTCTCTTGTCAGGCGAGATTACCAGTCCTTAGTGGGCTAGCCTGGGAACTCCAGTGCCTACATGATGGCTCTTTTTGGTATTGCCTTGTCTCATTCCCCTCTGGGAAAAG